CTGCTCTCTGCTGTGGAACTGTGGGGTTTCTAGAGCAGAGACCACATCATATTTTTCTCTGCATCCCCAAGAAGCAATCAATTCCTTGTTTATACCACAGCCCTGGGGGAGAGCTGGGAAGTGAATGTCTGAGATGAATAATTGCTGGATTTTTTTCTTTTTCTTTTTGAGACAGAATACTTACTCTGTCACCCAGGCTGGAGTGCAGTGGCACCGTCTCTGCTCACTGCAACCTCTGCTTCCTGGGTTCAAGTGATTCTCTTGCCTCAGCCTCCCGAGTAGTTGGTACTACAGGCACGTGCCACCACACCTGGCTAATTTCTGTAGTTTTGGTAGAGTCGGTGTTTCACCATATTGGTCAGGCTGGTCTTGAACTCCTGACCTCAGGTGACCCGCCTTCCCTGGCCTCCCAAAGTGCTGGTATTACAGGCATGAGCCAACACACCCGGCCCTAACTGCTGGATTTCTTTTCTTTTCTTTTTTTTTAGACGAAGTTTCGTTCTTGTTGCCCAGGTTGGAGTACAGTGGCACAGTCTTGGCTCACTGCAACCTTGCCTCCCGGGTTCAAGCAATTCTCCTTCTTCAGCCTCCCAAGTAGCTGGGATTACAGGTATGTGCCACCACACCTGGCTAATTTGTTTGTGTTTAGTAGAGACGGGGTTTCACCACACTGGTCAGGCTGGTTTTGCACTCCTGACCTCAGGTGATCCACCTGCCTCGGCCTCCCAAAGTGCTGGGATTACAGGCGTGAGCCACTGCGCCCGGCCCTGGATTTCTTACCTTACAGTCCTGCTGGACTGGGGTGACCTTTCTTTGCCTTGTCCTAACTCAGGTGAGTCCTGATGTCTATTTAAATTAAACATGCCTGGCTGGGTGCGGTGGCTCACGCCTCTAATCCCAGCAATTTGGGAGGCCGAGGTGGGGAGATCCCCTGAGGTCAGGAGTTCAAGACCAGCCTGGTCAACATGGTGAAACCCTGTCTCTACTAAAAATACAAAAATTAGCCAGGTGTGGTGGCAGGCACCTATAGTCCTGGTTATTTGGGAGGCTGAGGCAGGAGAATCACTTGAGCCTGAGAGGCGGAGGTTGCAGTGAGCCAAGATCAGGCCACTGCACTCCAGCCTGGGTGACAGAGCGAGACTCAGTCTCAAAAAAAAAAAAAAAAAAAAAGCCCAAAGTCCTCTTGACTTTTACGAATCTATCCTATCTATCCTGATAGAAACACAATCACCGGCATGTGAAGATATGTGTGCAAAGATATTACTGTGTTGTTTTCCTTGGAAAAAGTTGGAAAGACGACTTTATCAATAGGTAAATAATAGAATAAATTATGGCACATGCAGTGTTATGCAAACCACGCCCCATGAAAAGGAATTCGGCAGACCTATGTGCAGAGATCTGGAGAGAGACGGACTGCCCAGTGTTAAGTGAAAAAGTAAATTGCTGAATCATGTCTGTATCATGATTCCTTTTTTGTCAGAGGTGGCAAGAGGTTCCATACTATGTGTATGGTATGCTTATTTGTGTGTGTTTTTGTTGGCATAAGGAAAAACATGGAAGACTATACTCCAGGCTGTTGGAATTGGTTACCTTGTGGGATTACGCAGAGGGGAGATTGACTCATTTATTCATGGTGGGGTGTGGTGGCCCATGCCTTTTATCCCAACACTTTGGGAGGCTGACTCGGGAGCATCACTTGAGCCCAGGAGTTTGAGACCAGCCTGGACAACATAGTGAGACTACAAAAATTATAAAAAATTAGCTGGACGTGGTACACACCTGTGGTTCCAGCTACTCGGGAGGCTGGGGTGGGAGGATCCCTTGAGCCTGGGAGGTCGAGGCTGCAGTCAGCCATGATGGCGCCACTGCACTGCACTTCAGCCTGGGCTACAAGAGCAAGACTTCGTTTAAAAAAAAAAAAGATGGGGTGCAGTGGCTCACGCCTGTAATCCCAGCACTTTGGGAGGCTCAGGCCAAGGATCACTTGAGGTCAGGAGTTTGAAACCAGCCTGGCTGGCATGGTGAAACCCCGTCTCTACTGAAAATACAAAAATTAGTCGGACTTGGTGGCAGGAGCCTGTAATCCCAGCTACTCGGGTGGCTGAGGCTCAAGAATTGCTTGAACCCAAGGGTGGGGGTTGCAGTGAGTGGAGATTGTGCCACTGCACTCCAGCCTGGGTGACAGAGTGAGATTGGGTCTCAAGAAAAAAAGAAAGAAAGAAATTCATTTACTAATTCATATTTTGATCTCAGTAATATACTTTGATGTCCACTGGGTGCCAGGCACTGTTTTAGCCCCGGGGGAAAAAACACAATGAAAGCACACCAAGTCCCTCCCATCATGAAGCAAGAGTGTTGGTGACTGTCCTGGTTTGCCTGGGACCATTCTGGCTTCAGCAACGCTGGTCCGGTGTCCCAGGTGGCTTCTCAGTCCCAGGCCAACAGGAGCAACCTGTCATCCTATGGAGCTTGCATTTTAGCATGAGAGACACACACACAGGGGAGCGGGGCAGAGATTTTGCCGGTAAAAGTGCCATCTTGGAGCCCTTCCGATCCGCTTCCAGTGAGGATAATCCTGTTGCCCCAGGCTGAGGTTCTGCATTAGGCTCTGATTGATTGGCAGTCAGTGATGGAAGGGTACTCTGAGCATTCCGACTGCCCCAAGGGTCACAGGCCAGCTCTCCATTTTGCTGAGTTGGCAGTGGGACCTAATTTGTTAATTAAGAGTAGATGGTGAGCTGTCCTCGTATTTTGATTAACCTAATGGCCTTCCCAGCGCGACTCGGATTCAGCTGGAGACATCACGGCAACTTTTAATGAAATGATTTGAAGGGCCATTAAGAGGCACTTCCCGTTATTAGGCAGTTCATCTGCACTGATAACTTCTTGGCAGCTGAGCTGGCCGGAGCCGAGGCCCAAACGCACACTTGGCTTTTGGTTTTGAGATACAACTCTTAATCCTTTAGTCATGCTTGAGGGTGGATGGCCTTTTCAGCTTTAACCCAGTTTACACTGCCTTGGAAGTGTAGCCAGGAGAATACACTCATATACTCGTGGGCTTAGAGGCCACAGCAGATGCCGTTGGTCTACTGCCCGAGTCCCCCTGGTCCCATCCCAGGACCTTCCATCTGCGAGTACCCGGGAGCCTGTGCTGCTCCACACTGGGCTTTCTTTGCTGGAGCTGCTAGGGAGGGAGGCGTTTTGGGTTGAACTGTGACCTCACAAAAATGTGGGAGTCCTGGCTGGGCACGGTGGCTCACGCCTGTAATCCCAGCACTTTGGGAAGCCAAGGTGGGTGGTTCACTTGAGGTCAGGAGTTCAAGGCCAGCCTGGGCAACATGGTGAAACACCATCTCTACTGAAAATACAAAAATTAGCTGGGTGTGGTCGTGCGTGCCTGTAATCCCAGCTACTTGGGAGGCTGAGGCAGGAGAATCACTTGAACTCGGAAGGTGGAGGTTGCAGTGAGTTGAAATCTCACCACTGCACCCCAGCCTGGGTGACATAGTGAGCTTCTGAATCCAAAAAAAAAAAAAAAAAAAAAAAAAAAAAATTGTGGCAGTCCTAACCCCTGTACTTGTGTACTTGTGAATTTGACTTTATTAAGAAATAGGGTCTTTGCAGATGATCAAGTTGAGTTAAGGTCACTAGGGTAAGTCCCCATCCAATTTGACTAATGTCTTGCTGATTGATTTTTTATTTTTTAGAGGCAGGGTCTCATTCTGTTGCCAAGGCTGGAATGCCATGGTACAATCTCAGCTCACTACAGCCTTGAACTCCTGGGCTCAAGCAGTATTCTCACCTCAGTCTCCTAAAGTAGCTGGAACTGCAGGGATGTGTCACCATGCCTGGTTTTTTTATTTGCATGTTTTTTTTGTAGAGTGGGAGTCTTGAACACCTGGTCTCAAGCGATTCTCCTGCCTCGGCCTTCCAAAGTTCTAGGATTACAGGCATAAGCCACTATGCCTGGCCCCCCACCCCAATGTCCTTATAAAAATGGAAATTCTGGCTGGGCGTGGTGGCTCACGCCTGTAATCCCAGCACTTTGGGGGGCCGAGGTGGGTGGATCACCTGAGGTCAGGAGTTCGAGACCAGCCTTGCCAACATGGTTTAACTCCGTCTCTACCAAAAATACAAAAAATTAGTCTGGCATGGTGGTGTATGCCTGTAGTCCCAGCTACTTGGGAGGCGGAGGCAGGAGAATTGCTTGAACCTGGGTGGGGGAGGTTACAGTGAGCCGAGATTGTGCCACTGCACTCCAGCCTGGGTGACAGAACGAGACTCCATCTCAAAACAAAACAAAACAAAACAAAAACAAGTGAAATTTGGGCCAGGTGCGATCTCTACTAAAAATACAAAAATTAGCTGGGTGTGGTGGTCGGTGCCTGTAATCCCAGCTACTCAGGAGGGATGAGGCAGTAGAATCGCTTGAGTCCAGGAGGCAGAGGTTGCAGTGAGCCAAGATTGTGCCATTGCACTCTAGCCTGGGCGACAACAGCAAGACTCCATCTCAAAAAATACATAAGTAAATAAAAGGGAAATTTGGACACAGAGAGAGACACACATATGCAGGGAGAACGCCGCCTTAAGATGGAGGCAGAGATGGGGGTGATGCATCTATAAGCTGATGAGCAGTGGGGGCTGGCAAGTGACCAGAGGCTGGGAGAGAGGTGCAGTGCAGATTCTCAGCCTCGATCTTGGACTTGCATTCTGCAGGACTGTGACATAATGAATTGTGTATGACTGTTGTCTACACCTGCCACTCAATTTGCAGTATTTTGTTATGCCAGCCCTAGCAAACTATTATAACAGAGGGGTTAGCACTGGTCCTGCCCTCAGGGAGCATCCTCCATCAGTGGCTGATGGGAGTTGCTGGGTAACTACTCCAGCTCCCCAGCCTTCCGGGTAGGGCGCTCTGTCCTTAGAGAGTGGTCCGTTGACAATACAGGGACATCCTGTACTAACCGCCCTTCCCGTCTCATTTCTTTTCTTCTAGCCGTGTTTTTGGGATCATAAGCAACTGGCACTTGAATTTCCCTCTCACAGTCTGCTTCTGGGACAGAGGCTCTGGCTACTCTTGACCACTGGTATGCATAAGCGTATGTGTGTGTGTATGTGTGTGCATGCCTGCGTGTGAGCATGTGTGTGCATGCCTGTGTGTGCATGCCTGTGTGTGAGCATGTATGTGCTTGATACGGTTTGGCTCTGTGTCCTCACTCAAATCTCATCTTTTTTTTTTTTTTTTTTTTTTTTTTTTTTGAGATGGAGTCTCTCTCCCTCACCCAGGCTGGAGTGCAGTGGCCGGATCTCACCTCAGTGCAAGCTCCGCCTCCCGGGGTCACGCCATTCTCCTGCCTCAGCCCGCCACCTCGCCCGGCTAGTTTTTTGTATTTTTTAGTAGAGACGGGGTTTCACCGTGTTAGCCAGGATGGTCTCGATCTTCTGACCTCGTGATCCGCCCGTCTCGGCCTCCCAAAGTGCTGGGATTACAGGCTTGAGCCACCGCGCCCGGCTCAAATCTCATCTTGAACTGTAATCCCCACAGGTCCAGGAAAGGACGTGATTGGATCTTGGGAGCGGTTTCCTCCATGCTGTTCTCACGATAGTGCGTGAATTCCCTCGAGATATGATGGTTTTATAAACGTAGGTAGTTTCTCCTGCGCTGACACACACACTTCCTGCTGCAGCCTCGTGAAGAAGGCGCCTGCCTCCTTGACATCTTCCACCATGATTGCACGTTTCCTGAGGCCTCCTAGCCATGCTTCCTGTAAAGCCTGTGGAACGGTGAGTCCATTAAACCTCTTCCTTTATAATTACCCACTATCAGGTCGTATTCTTTATAGCAGTGTGAGAACTGACTAATACAGTGCTTGTGTGTGTCTAGGAAAGGAAACTTCAGGTCTGATCACTTTTTGCTTGAGCTGAACCGTCAGCCCCTGGGCTGGTGCAGTTGCTCTTGTCTACAGGGTCCCCCGGTTGCTCCTCTCCCAGGATTGCGTCTAAGTTCAGAGAGGTTTCTGGGGTCCAAGCCCTTTTGGGATCATGGGTGCAAGCCACCACCTTCTCAGGATGAGACGTCCTTCTTTCTTTATTTTTTGAGACAGAGTTTTGCTTTTGTTGCCCAGGCTGGAGTGCAGTGGCAATCGAGATCTCGGCTCACTGCAACCTCTGCCTCCCAGGTTCAAGCGATTCTTCTGCCCTCAGCCTCCCAAGTAGCTTGGATTACAGACATGTGCCACCACGCCCAGCTAATTTTTGTATTTTTAGTAGTGAAGGGTTTCACCATGTTGGTCAGGCTGGTCTTGAATTTCTGACCTCAGGTGATCCACCCGCCTTAGCCTCCCAAAGTGCTGGAATTAGAGGCATGAGCCACCGCGCCCAGCCGAGATGTCCTTATTTCTTTCTGGACTGTGAGTTTCGACTCATCTAAGACAATGCAGTGGTGGCGTTTTTTTGGCCCAGCCTGGACTCAGCTGCTGCCAGGTCCTCCTCAGCTGTCCTGCCCCCACACTCAGGGCTCTAAGAAACACATGAAAGCTCCCTCCCAGAAGCCGTTCCCTACTTCCTAGCCCCTTTCAGGAGCATGAGCAGGCCTGAGACACACTGTGCACCAGGCCGGATGTTTTCCTTCAGGGGACAGAGCCGGTCCTGGGATGTGGCAGCCAGACCTCAGGGATGGTGTGCACTGCCCAGACTCCTCTACAGGCCGCTCACATGCCCTTGTTTCTGTCCGTCCTGTGACACCGACAGGATTGACCACCGCCACCCACCACACATTCTTGCGTGTGATCAAGGCAGGGGTCCTCCTCCGGAGCAGGAAGAGTGACTTGTCAGGATGGGACTCAGGGCCATCTGATTTTTGAAAATTCCCTCGGTAATATACACATGTACGGAATAACTCGGCATGGAAAGATTTGGAGTCAAAAGTGACAGTTGGTGGAGCCCTGTGGCTCCCACTTGTAATCCCAGCACTTCGGCGGGGTCTGAAGCAGGAGAATCCTTGAGCCCAGGTACCTGAGACCAGCTTGGGCAACGTAGTGAGACTTTGCCTCAAAAAAGAAAAAAAAAAGGTGAAAGTTGTCTTTTTCTCTCTCTTTCTTCTTTTTCTCTCTCTTTCTTCTTTTTTTTTTTTTTGGAGACAGAGTTTCCCTCTTTTTGCCCAGGCTGGAGTCAATGGCGCGATCTCCGCTCATTGTAACCTCTGCCTCCCGGGTTCAAGTGATTCTCCTGCCTCAGCCTCCCGAGTAGCTGGGATTATAGGCACGTGCCACCACCATGCCCGGCTAATTTTTGTGTTTTTAGTAGAGATGGGGTTTCACCATATTGGTTAGGCTGGTCTCAAACTCTTGATCTCAGGTGATCCACCTGCCTCGGCCTCCCAAAGTGTTGGGGTTCCAGGCGTGAGCCACTGCCTGACCAAAAGTTGTCTTTTGATAACCTTCATTTTGTCTCTTGGTGACATTTGCTTTTTCAGACTTTTATGTAAATATGGATGTAGCTATAGACAGATAATAGATCGTAGATGGATATAGATAGATAGCTCTACTATGGATAGAGAGTAGATATAGATACAGACAGGTGTGTAGATACAGAATTCAAGACATAGACCAAGATAGACATAGATATATGTATGTAGATAGGGATACAGACATATCCATGTCGATACATATAAATAGATAGGATGGCATAGTTTTAAACATAAATGTCACTGTGCTTTCTGTGTGGCTTGGTTACTTTGTGTTATCACTGCACAGTTGTCTTTAAGGTCTTCTGAAACAAGCACATATCCACCTCGTTCCTTCTAACCAATCCCCTGCTAATTGGCAATCGCGTCATTCCCATTTCTTTCTTTCTTCTTTTTGAGACAGAGTCTTGCTCTGTCGCTCAGGCTGGAGTGCAGTGGTGCGATCTTGGCTCACTGCACACTCCGCCTCCCGGGTTCAAGTGATTCTTCTGTCTCAGCTGCCTGAGTAGCTGGGATTACAAGCGCCTGCCACCACACCCGACTCATTTTTGTATTTTTTAGTAGAGATGGGGTTTCACCATGTTGGCCAGGCTGGTCTTAAACTCCTGACCTCAGGTGATCCACCTGCCTCAGCCTCTCAAAGTGCTGGGATTACAGGCGTGAGCCACTGTGCCCAGCCAAGTCGTTCCCATTTCTTTTCCATAAAACCCTGCAGGAAACATCGTTTAGGTCATCATGTATTGGTGCAAGTATTTCTGCGGGACAGATTCCTAGAAGTAGAATTTCTGAGTTAAAAAGGTAAGCATATTTCACATTTTGGGAGGTGCTATCAAAAATTGCCCTCCAAAAACGTTGAACCAATTTGTGCTCCCAGAGTAATTTAATTTGAATATTAAAAAGCCTGGTGATCTCATACTGCACTCTAAGCTGGTGAAGCAGAACAGATGAGTTACATCTAAATAGGTTATTATGGAGCAAGCAGGTCTGAACCGGCTCCTGCTTGGCCATGCTTGGTTGTTTATTTTCAGTGCACACACTTGAAGGGGAAACAAACAGCTTTACTTTAATATGCTTCAGAATTCAAAATTTTTCTGGTAGATACAAGATTTTTCCTTCTTCCATGGCAGTTTTGGAATTAGTGAGGCCTTCCTTTACCAATTATAGCTGATTATAATGGAAGATTGCCCACAGTGCTTATGTAATTATAATTCAGAGACAAGAAATTGGGCTTTTGATTGCATTTAATCTGCAGGAGCCCTCCCCACTCCCCCCATGACCTACTGTTTAAACTTATGCCTGGAGTTGTGAAAATGCAACAGAATCACAAACTTTAAGGTTGAACAACCCCGGAGTGGTTCTCTCTCAATTCTTTCTAATTTTTCTAAAAATACAAAAATCAGCCAGGCGTGGTGGTGGGCTCCTATAATCCCAGTTACTAGGGAGGCTGAGGCAGGAGAATCGCTTGAACCCGGGAGGCAGAGGTTGCAGTGAGATGAGATTGCACCACTGCACAGCCTGGGTGACAGAGTGAGACTCTGTCTCAAAAAAAAAAAATTTAAAAAAAAAAAAAAAGACTAAAGTAATTTAAAAAATTTTCTTTATTTTTGTTTTCTTCTTTGTTTTTGTTTTTTGTTTATTTCTTTTACTTTTTCTTAGTTATTTTTATTTCCTAAGGTCATTAAATGTCGTTATTTTTGTGAAATCTCTGAAATTATGAAAATGAATTAAAGATTATTGAGTGACAAAAAAATCAAAAATAAAAAGAAAAAAGATGGAAAACTATTGGGCAAGTATGTTATTAAAGAAGAAAATGGTCAAATGGCAGTTGTTTTGGTGCTGGCAAGTCTATGTAAGGATTATTGATTCACGCCAGGCGCGGTGGCTCAAGCCTGTAATCCCAGCACTTTGGGAGGCCGAGGCGGGTGGATCACGAGGTGAGGAGATCGAGACCATCCTGGCTAACATGGTGAAACCCCGTCTCTACTAAAAATACAAAAAAAAAAAAACTAGCCGGGCGTGGTGGCGAGCTCCTGTAGTCCAAGCTACTCGGAGGCTGAGGCGGGAGAATTGCGTAAACCCGGGAGGCGGAGCTTGCAGTGAGCTGAGATCCGGCCACTGCACTCCAGCCTGGGCGACAGAGAGAGACTCCGTCTCAAAAAAAAAAAAAAAAAAAAAAAAGATTATTGATTCACTTATTTTTATTCTTATTATTTATTTTATTTTATTTTTTTTTGTAGAGATGGGGTCTTGCTATGTTGCCCAGATTGGTCTTGAACTCCCGGCCTCAAGAGGTCTTCCTGCCTCAGGCTCCCAAAATATTGGGATTACAGGAATGAGCTGCCACACCCAGCCTAAAATCATTTATTGATTGATGGTGTGAGATACCTTTGTGTTAGTCAGCATTCTCTAGAGAAACAGAGACAGGATGTACATGCAGAGAGAAAGAGATTTATTTTTATTTTATTTCATTTTTTTGAGACGGAGTCTTGCTCTGTCGCCCAGGCTGGAGTGCAGTGGTATGATCCCGTCTCACTGCAACCTCTGCCTCCAGATTCAAGCGATTCTCTTGCCTCAGCCTCCCGAGTAGCTGGGATTACAGGCTCGTGCCACCACGCCTGGCTAATTTTTGTATTTTTAGTAGAGACAGGGTTTCACCATGTTGGCCAGGCTGGTCTCGAACTTCTGACCTCAAGTGATCCGCCTGTCTTGGCCTCCCAAGGTGGGATTACAGGGGTAAGCCACTGTGCCTGGCCCATATATCATTTCTTTCCCTTGACAGGAAGGACCAATGACTAGACAGGCCAGTGTCTTGCTCTGGGCTCCTCAACAAGTGTGTGGTCTGAGGGTTACTTGTATCTGTTTCCCTAGTCCCTGGTTCAGGGCTTCTATGACCCACCAGCTGCCTCCCTTCCCAACAGGTCCTGCCCCCTACTGGAATGATCTGAGATCCTCCTTCGAGAACCTCTGAGAGCTGCCAACCAGAAAGGGTCTATCAAGACAATCTCTTGCAGACTTCATCCATCCACATGCACAAGGAAGTGATAATGAGATTTCTGCTCAGTGGCTTGGAGAGAAAAATGACACAATGAGGAAGGATGGGGGAAGGCAGAGAGGTGGGTTGGTCGTCATATAATATTTGAATCTATCCTCTTCCCGAGAATGTGTCTTTTCCCCTGGAATTCAGGGGAATAGAGTGTTACTTTTTTATGGCCAGGAAAACATTAATAAAAAAATGAACCGTCAGTGAAATTAATTTACGAGGTTTATGCATTCACAGCAACTAACAAGCCTGCACCTGCTCATCTGACACCCTCAAGCGACTCCCCTGTGCCCCCCTTCCCACCCTCTTAAAATTCCTCTCCTTCTCGGAAGGTACCTGGTTGTCGCATTGAGCAGTTAAATAAATGTACGGTGGGATAGAGACACGGCTTGTTAATTAAAAACGCTGCTCTGCCACTTCAAAGTTATGAAAAGACAAGCCAGGTTGAGCAGAAAGAGTCTGTTGGGGAGACGCTAGTTGGATTTTTATGTGCCGTGTAAAGAGCCCCGGTATAATGGGATGAGACAGACATTCATTAGCTTTCCCACTGAGCGTCCCACACCTTCCCACGCAGGGTCATCTTCTCTCCCACCCTCCCCCTCTCTACCTTGGAACCAGCACCTTTCTTGAATGGTAAGAGTCACTTACAGTGTTACCTATAGAGTAAGAGTCACCCGGGCCTCCTGTCTGACTATCCCATCCATCTGCTGTTGCTGTTTTCAGCATTTTTCTCTCCAAGCCACTGACCCTAAATCTCATTATTTCCTTGTGCATGTTGATGGATGAAGTCTCTGAGCAATTGTCTCAGTGGACCCTTTCTGGTTGGTAGTCCTCAGGTTGGAAGCTCACTTGTTGGAATTTCTTGGTTAAAAACTTACAGAAAGTCCTGTGCAGTGGCTCACGCCTGTAATCCCAGCACTTTGGGAGGCCAAAGTGGGCGGATCACCTGAGGTCAGGGGTTCCAGACCAGCCTGGGCAACATGGTGAAACCCCATCTCTACTAAAAATACAAAAATTAGCCCGGTTCATTACTTGAACCCAGGAAGCGGAGGCTGCAGTGAGCTGAGATCACACCACTGCACTCCAGCCTGGGCAGCAGAGTGAGGCTCTGTCTCAAAAAAAAAAAAAAAAAAAAAGAGAGAGAGACAGATATAAATAATATGTCCCAGACAAAAAGACTGGCCATGTCTGTCTTTCCTTTTTTTTTTTAAATTGAGATAGAATCTAGCTCTGTCGCCCAGGCTGGAGTGCAGTGGTATGATCTCGGCTCACTGCAACCTCCACCTCCCGGGTTCAAGCAATTTTCTTGCCTCAGCCTCCCAAGTAGCTGGGATTACAGGTGTGCGCCACCATGCCCAGATTTTTTTTTTTTTTTCTTTTTTTTTGTATTTTTAGTAGAGACAAGTTTTCACCATGTTGGCCAGACTGGTCTCGAACTCCTGAACTCAGGTAGTCCACCAACCTCAGCATCCCACAGTGCTGGGATTACAGGCGTGAGCCACTGTGCCTGGGCGACACCTCTCTTTTTTTTTAAAAAAATCTTTTGATCGAGGTATATCATACATGTAGTGGGCATAAAGTGTGCACATCTTAGTATGTGGGTACCTTTATAGGATATAAGCCAGGAGTGGAGTTGCCAGGTGGTGGGATATGTGTATGTTTCACCTTGTAGGAAATTTATAAGCAGGTTTCCAAAGTGCTGGTACCAATTTAGACTCCCACCAACTGCGTATAGGAGTTCCAGTTGTTCCATATCTTTGCCAACACTTGGCATTGTTAGTCTTTTTAATTCTTGCAGTTCTGGTGGGAGTATAGTGGTCTTCTCTCTCCTTTAACTGGCTCATGCATATTCATCTTTCAAGTGTCGGCTCAGATATTGTCTCCTCCAGAATTCATCTGTCTTAGTCAGTTTGTGCTGCCACAGACCGGGTGGCTTTAACAGCAGACATTTATTTTCTCACAGTTCTGGAGGCTGGAAGTCTGAGTTCAGGGTTCTGGTGGGAGCTCCTTTCCAGCTTGCAATTGGACGTTTACTGTCTGTGTCCTCACATGCATGGGGTCAGAGAGAGAGAGAGAGAGAGAAGTACTGGTGTTTCTTCCACTTTATTTATTTTTTGAGTAGGAGTCCAGGCTGGAGTGCAGTGGCGCGATCTTGGCTCACTGCAGCCTCCACCTCCTCGGTTCAAGTGATTCTCCTGCCTCAGCCTCCCAAGTAGCTGAGATTACAGGCATGTGCCACCACTCCTGGCTAATTTTTTTTACTTTTAGTAGAGATGGGGGTTTCACCATGTTGGTCAGGTTGGTCTCGAACTCCTGAACTCCTGACCTCAGGTGATCTGCCTGCCTCACCCTCCCAAATTGCTGGGATTACAGGCATGAGCCACTGCACCCGGCCTCTTCTTTTTCTTATAAATAACACTATTCCCATCATTAGGGCCATACCTCCCTGACCTCAGCTAAACCTCATCACCTCCCAAAGGCCCCACCTCCCAAGAGCATCACGTTGGGGATTAGGGTCTCAACACATGAACTTTGAGAGGACACAAACCTTCAGCCCATACTTCTTCCCTGACCACTTAGCCTGATTGGTCTCCATGCTAGCTGTGATTCTGCCGAAATGTAATTGCCTGTCGACTTCACCATTGTTCCCACTAGACTTGGAAGTCCTCAAGGGCAGGGACAGTATTTTGTTCATTGTTTGGAGTGTTGTCCCACTGCCATCCTGTCCAGGGAAAGGCGAGGCCTGTTGGAGCAGTTGCTCGATGCACCAGCGTCCTAAAGCTAAAGCTTCTTTTGTGCCAGACTCCCCCCCAGCAGGGAGGGCAGGACCTGCCTCCCTGAGGTCTTCAGCTGTTGCTGTTTGCTCTCAGTTGCCTCATTTCCAGTGCTTGGGTAAAACAGTCCACCCTAGAAGTGTTGGCTAAAGCCTCTGATTTCTTCCTTTCCTTCCCTCTTCCTTCCCCTCCCCTCCCCTCCCCTTCCCTTCCCCTTTCCCTTCCCCTTTCTTTTTTCTTCCTTTCCCCTTTCCTTTCCTTTCCCATTTCATTTTCCTTCCTTTCCCATTTCCTTTTCCTTCCCTTTCCCTCCCCTCCCCTCCCTTCCCCTCCCCTTTCTTTCCCTTTGGTGTGATCATTGCTTACTGCAGCCTCCAACTGCTGGGCTCAAGCGATCCTCCTGCCTCAGCCTCCTAAGGAGCTGGGACTACAGGTGTGCATCATCATGCCTAAAGCCTCTGATTTCTGTGGCCGGCCTCATCCTGCTTCATGTCCCCATTCACCTCAGGCTCCATCAAGTCAAATGCACAGCGTGGTAGGATAACTAACAATACTGTATTTGTACTTGAAATTTGCTAAGAGGGTAGATTTTAAGCGTTGTCACCACACACACATACACAAAGCTAGCTACGTGAGGTGCTGGGTATGTGAACTAGCTTAATCATGGTGATCACCCATATACCTGTATCAAAACGTCAGGTTGCTTCCTTGTTCCTAGATACCACCTTCCTGCTATGTCCTCTTGAGGTAGAACGGCCAGTGCGCTCTCCCGGGGCTGTTTGATAAGGACACTGATCCCATTCATGAGGCTCTGCCCCCAGGACCTAATCACCTGTCAAAAGGCCCCACTTTCTAACATCATCACCTTGGCGGTTAGAATTTCAACATATGGGCTGGACAGGGTGGCTCATGCCTGCAATCCCAGCACGTGGGGAGGCTGAGGAGGGCGGATCACTTGAGGTCAGGAGTTTGAGACCAGCCTGGCCAACATGGTGAAACCTTGTTTCTACTAAAAATACAAAAAAATTAACTGGGCGTGGTGGTGCACTCCGGTAGTGCTAGCTACTCGGGAGGCTGACGTGGGAGAACTGCTTGAACCTGAGAGGTGGAGGTTGCAGTGAGCCGAGATTGTGACACCCTCTAGCCTGGGTGACAGAGCAAGACTCTGTCTCAAAAACAAAAAACAATTTCAACATATGAATTCTGGGAGGACACAGACGTTCAGACCATAGCGCCCTGCATAGAGCCACCGCTCACCCACACTCTCCTCAATGTAGATGGATCAAGGCCAGTTCAGTTCTTCTTGAGTTTGGAGGTAGAGCCGTGGGTGTGGTGACCTCCAGAGACTCTTAGGGACTGGGATGCCCTCTCTGGCCTCCAGGGGCCCTTCCTGGAGGAGCGTGAGCCTGTTCTCTGTGGTGGGCAAGACTGCAGGGAGAAGGCGTGTGGCTGTGTGGCCGGGAGCACAGGCTCTGGAACCAGACTGCTTATGTTTAAATTCCAGCATCGCCATGAACTAGCTGTTCCCTTGCAAAGCTACTCAACCTCTCTGCACCTTTCATTCTTCATCCGTACGACGGGATGATGATAATCACAGGAGCTGTCTCACAGGGCTGTTGTGAAGCTGAAGGAAGCTAATATGTGCCTGGCATACAGAAAAACCCACATAAACCTCTGCTTCTGTTACTAAGCTTTGGAAAAAGATAGACTCAGCTTCAATCTCAGATCCAAAATTTATTAGCTGAATGGTTGTATCAGTCTGTTCTCTCTCTCTCTCTCTTTTTTTTTTTTTTTGAGACAGTGTCTTGCTGTATTGTCCAGGCTGGAGTGCCGTGTCACGATCTCAGCTCACTGCAACCTCTGCCTCCCAGGTTAAAGCGATTCTCCTGCCTCAGCCTCCAGAGTAGCTGGGATTACAGGTGCACTCCACTAGGCTTGGCTAATTGTATCAATCTGTTCTCACATTGCTACAAAGAAATGACTGAGGCTGGGTAATTTATAAATAAAAGAGTTTTAATTGGCTCACGGTTCTGCAGGCTGTACAGGAAGCATAGGGGCTTTTGCTTCTGGGGAGGCCTCAGGAAGCTTCCAGTCATGGTGGAAGGCAAAGAGGGAGTAGACGTCTCCCATGGTGGGAGCGGGGGCAGGAGAGAGTGAGTGGGGAGATGCTGCACAATTTTTTTTTTTTTTTGAGACACAGTCTCACTCTGTTGCCCAGGCTGGAGTGCAGTGGCGTGATCTCGGCTCACTGTAACCTCTGCCTCCCAGGTTCAAGCCATTCTCCTGCCTCAGGCTCCTGAGTAGCTGGGATTATAGGCTCCCATCACCAGGCCTGGCTAATTTTTGTATTTTTAGTAGAGATAGGGTTTTGCCTGTTGGCTAGGCTGGTCTTGAACTATTGACTCAGGCCTCCCAAAGTGCTAGGATTA